GGGATACTATAAACAAGGTGACTCATAATTACGTCTATCCCCAACTACGCTGCTTGTAGCATTGCCTAAAAAGTCCCATGATCCTCCAAGAACCCGAAGCCCTAAAGCCTGAACACCCCAATCCTAAACTTTTTGAACCTTAGCCCTCAACCCTAAACCCCAAACCCTAAACCCCAAACCCTAAACCCTAAACCCCAAAAGCCTAAACCCTAAACCCTAAACCCTAAGCCCTAAACCCGAATCAATCTGGTCCGAAGGAGAAGTCCTGCGCCGTGGGCCAGGATTGCGCTCTTGAGGATGTCCAGGGCGCGGAGCCCGGGCTGCGGGTTATATCGTACAGGTAAACAGGTAAATAAATACATAGGTACAGAGAAAGAGAGAGATAAATAAAAACATAAACAAACAAAGAAAAAGAAAAAATAAATAAATAGATAAATAAGTAAATAAATATAGATATAAATTTAAATATAAATAAATAAATAAATAAATAAATAAATAAATATATATATATATATATATATATATATTTATAATATAGGGATTGACTCGGATTCAGGTTGTAGGCTTTAGGGTTTAGGGTTAACTAATTCGGGCTTAGGGCTAGGGGTGTAGGGTTAGTTAATTCGGACTTAGGGTTTGGGGTTACGGGTTAATTAGAACCGAGTTCCTGCAGGGCTTTGTAGGGGTTCCTTCAGGCCTCTTTACGGGTCCTGTGCAATATATATAGGGTTTCATCACGGTTCACTAATATGTTTGTGGAGAGCGGGCGGGTTGGTATTATTGGGGTTCGAGACTCAGGGATGTGGGGCGGATGGTTTAGGGAACAGCTACCCTAAATCCTAAGCTCTAAATCCCATACTCCCCTAAGCCCTAAACTCAGAACCACTAAGCCCTGACCTGGAATCTCAAGACCCTGAAACCTTGAACTCTAAACCCTCGGTGGACGTCAGCAAGGTGACGGATACCCGAATAGGATGGATAAAACCTTACGCCTTAAACGCGGCACCATGAACCCCAAGCAACTCACATCCCGAGCCCCGAAACTCCTAGACCCAACGACCCTAACCCCAAAACCCTCGACCCCTGAACCCATTTATAAGTACAGTTATAAGTAGGGCAACGACAATTATAATTATAACCCATATTAGGGGACTTATAACCCTACTTAGAACTACCCATGAACCTCCGAGTGAACCCCGAGGCCGGACCCCTCCCCAACCCTAAACCACTGAACTCGTACTTGGAGGATCATGGGACTTAGTAAGTAAGGTATAAGTATAAGTCCCTTAAGTAAGTGGGGTTATGGGTAATTATAAGTACAGTTACCTTAATGAGAAGCCCTACTTACTAAGTCCCATGATCCTCTAAGTAAACCACTGAACTCGTATTCCACTCACGGATTGCCTTCAACCTTTCAGAAGGGCTCGGTGCGGCAAGCCTGCAACCTTGGGCGCGTCCAGTGCATGTTAATTCTTACTTGGAGGTTCGTGGGTAGTTATAGGTAGGTTTTATAAGTCCCGTAATATGGGTTATAATGATGGTTATCCTACTTATAACCCCACGTATAAGTACCCATGAACCTCGAAGTAGGGATATCCGGCAGCTGCCACAGACTGGGGCTGTGATATGTGCGCCAGTTCCTGCACGGCACTGCCCTCTGGTCTTGCGTAATTCGTCCTATTGCGGTGTGGAGCTGTTCACACACAGCTGACAAGTGCGGCCCCTAAACCCTAAACCCTTAACCCGAAATGGTTTGCAGTTTAGGGTTTTAGGGTTTAGAGTCTAGGGTTTTAGGGTTTGGAGCTTCGGGGTTTGGGCTTAGGGTTTGAGGTTTCAGAGGTTAAGGCTTGGAGCTGTGGTCGGAACCGCTCCTCTGGCCGACCGTCGGCAGCGGCAGTGCAGTCATCGCGCAATGGCACCCGTGGCTGAGGAAGCTCACAGCGAAAACATCCTAAACCCTAAACCCAGCACCCTAAAAAAATCCTAAGCCCTAAACCCAGAACCCGAAAAAAAGGCCCTAAACCCTAAACCCAAGCCAGGTTGTTAAGCATCTGTGGCATGCCTTTCGCCTCTTTGGTACACAGACATCTTGCATAAACCCAGGAAGTCCCTTAAATCCTTAGACCTCAACCTTTTCACCATGTGGCCATTCAGCCCACAAAAGCCCGAAGCGCTAAACCCCTAGAGAGCCCTAAAGTCCTAAACCTCAAACCCAAAACCGTAAACCTTGGCTTTAAATCCTAAACCCTTAACCTTAAACCCTAAACCCTAAACCCCAAACCCAAAACCCAAAACCCTAAACCCTAAAGCCAAGCCCGAAGTTCCGCCCCAAAGCCGTCTCAAGCTCCCAGAGCTCGAGGACAGAAGCAAGAGGTGGCCTCCACAACTTGTAAGTGGGTGGTTGTCAAAATTATGGTCCCTTTTTGGGTCCTTATTATAATACGGCACCTTTTCTTTAGGGTACCCCAAAAGGGACCATAATTTTGACAACTACCCAAGTGCCAGTGTAGAAATTCTGATAGGTTTAGGGTTCAAGGTTTCTTCATTGGGTTTTTATAGTTTAGGGTTCAGGGTTCAACTTTCAGGGTTTGGAGCTTAAACCCAAAGCATTGTGGAAGGATAAAGCTTCAAACTCCGTGTAGTGTAGAAGCCTCTGTAGTACCCGTCTAAGTCTAGAAGCTCACAGATACCGTGGAGGAACCCTTCTAGAAGCTTTTCGGAGCATCGCGATCGAACCAGGTGTTGGTCTCATCCCTGGTGATCGGCTGATGATCCTCTCCGCCTGCGGGACGGGGCCCCAGGTTGCAAAGCTTTCGGATTCGTCTTCGGATTCTTAGAGGGTCTTTCTAGGTTACTTAAAGGCTTTGTTGGTCTCCGGGGTTTACTGAGGGTTTTTCATTCGGCTTCTTGGGTTCAGTGTTTAGTGAAGGCCCTCTCAGAATCGAGAAGAGTAGTAGTAGTAGTAGTAGTAGTAGTAGTAGTAGTAGTCGTAGTAGTAGTAGTCGTCGTCGTCGTCGTGGTGGTGGTAGTGGTAGTGGTAGTGGTAGTGGTAGTGGTAGTGGTAGTAGTAGTAGTAGTAGTAGTAGTAGTAGTCGTGGTGGTTGGTAGTGGTAGTGGTAGTGGTAGTGGTAGTAGTAGTAGTAGGCGCCCCCCCTACCAACTACACTTGCTTAAAACCATCTTAAGAGTACATCCGTTTTACTCGCTATTTACAGCACTTTCGTCATGTACGATCATCATAAGAGGCCTCAAAATCCACTTGCCGAGTTTGCTAACTCGGCCTCTTGATTTTGGACTTGCTGCGGGGGGGCGGGGTGGGGGGGTGGGGGG